AAAAAAGTAAAATTAAGCTTTCTGGGATGCTTATTTTTTTAGAATGGGCAAAAAAAAATTCACGTCAGAAATCTCGTTTTTTTAGTCGTCCTCGCCCTCGAATCTAATGGTCTCTGTTATCAGTTTTGAGGGGCACGCTATACCCACTAAAATGTATGCAAGGGTCTCTAATACTTGTTAAATCCCGAAGTAACCCGAAGTAATGAGGTGAAGGGTGTTCGAGGCGTGGTTAGCTGTTTTGAAACCTTGAGTTAACTGCAAACAGAGCATGAATTGTCATAGTAACTAGTGCTTTCAGTTTAGCTTTAAAGCCGCAATAGAATGGACTTCAGTCAATTTGGAAGATCCGCTCCAATCAGCGGCCAGCACCTCATACCCCAATCCCGCAAGTAACACAGGGTAATGCTTATAAAGGTTTTTGTAGTTTGAGTGTAATATGGATTGCACTCCGTGTTTTTTTCTTTTTTCAGGCGTACAAAGCTCTTGATCAATTTCACTCAGTTGACAGAACTCATCGCAAGCAGAATTTTTACCTTAACTTTTTAGAAAATTGTGAGTCGCCAAAAGAAGTCACTACTCTCGCCCCATCACCATTACAGTCTGCCTCCTTGTCGAATTGTCTTGAACTTGTGATGCACCCCATTTTCCAACGTCTCATTGATGTTAAATGGCGATACTTTCGGGTTGAGGCGTGGCTGGATATTCTTCCAAACGTGCTGATGACCATACTGTACACTGTTTTAGCTTGTTCAATGCCTCGAGATGTCAGCACATTTTACTCGCCACTCAGTGAGCAGTGGTGGAAAATTGTCCTCGCAGTCGTGTTTGCTGTCATAATGCTCAATGAAATCAGAAAGGAAATAAGGGATTATTACCGATCAAAGAAGCAGTCTAAAAAACTAATCAAATGGAGGCGGAAGGAGGTTGAAAGAGACTTGGCTTTTTGTCATCCACGGTGGCCTCAGGAAGCAACCTTTGTCGAGCAGGAGATGAGGCGGATTAAACAAGACAGGGGTAATCAGCAGATTTATTTCTCAGACGCGTGGAATTACATTGACTGGATCACGTATGCCATGATGATAGTGGTGATAATTCTTCACTTAGTTAACATCTACGTCAAAAGCAATGGTTACAATGATGTTTTTGTCCGGATCCTCTCCTGCACCTTAATTCCTGCCTGGGTTCGTTTGTTAAAATACGCCCGACCCTTCCCTGGCCAGGGACCTTTTGTAGTTATGCTCGACCACATTGGTACGGAAACCGCAAAGTGGCTGCTTGTAATTTTGATGTTTTACATACCCTATGCGGCAGCCTTCTGGATCATGTTCGGGCCTCAGGCTCAAACACCTGTGAACGACTACAGCTCTGTATTAAGTCTAATTTATACCATCATACGGATTCCGTTGCTTGATGATTATAATTTTGCAGAACTAGATAAAGCGGCGCCTTACATGTCCCGCCTACTCTGTGGAACGTTTATAATGATTGCTGCGATTGTTCTCATGAATCTCTACATCGCACTTTTGTCTAACACGTTCCAGCGGGTTTATGACAACGCTCGGGCGACCGCTGCCATACAGCGAGCTAGGCTTCTTCAAGACCTGGAATTGGATGCCTCCGTCAAAAAACTGAAGCGTTATAGAGAGTTCATAAGCACAAACTACAGTCCTGAGGAAACGGACCACATTGCAGTTCTATCAGAACAAGAGGAACACAACCGAAAGCAAGAGGAAAAGGTGTCTGAGATTCACAATATTGTAAGCAAGCGGTTCGGAGGCAAAAAGTTTGGCAAACTAGAGAGAAGTGAATTCGATTTAGTTCTGGAAGATTTGAACAATCTTAAGCGTTCTCATTTGGAAATCAAACGCTCTCTTTCGTCCTTAACTTCAAACCTAGAGGATTTGAAAAAGACAACATCCTTTCTCGTTGAAAGTCGGACGCACGGTGATCGAGAGCGCCAGAACAAGGAACAGGAAGATATTTTAGAACGACTGACCCTTACTGTTCAAAGACTTGAATCAGTGTACGCTATCGACAATGGTCGAAATCCCGGGCGAGTGATGACAAATCACAAGGCAAACCAAACAGATTAATGACATAATGTTCTTGCACGAGTGATTGGATTGGCTTTATTTCTTCATACCTTTGATTTTGTCATGAAAGATAAATCATCGTGGATAATGTGTATAATGGGTTTAGTTTATCGTTTGTCTCACAATTGTCTCTTTGATATTAGAGAGATCAAGGTTCACCCTTACCGCAAACGGCAAACGTCAGACTCAAGTTGAGAATTTCTCAGAATAGAAAATAAGCAGATAAAAATAGTTCCGAACGATTCCTATGGTTAAAACTGCAATAAAACTGCTTATTTATTAGGAGCAATAAAGACTAAACAGAGAATAAGAGGAAAACTTGATCACGTGGTACAAATTCACGTCTGCCGTTTGGCGTAAACGTGAATCTTAATCTCTCTATTGAGCGCGACGTTTTGACCACACACTTCAGGTCTTCATCAGGCTATAGTGTCGATTTACTGAGTCGGACCATTTGTACCACTGTTGTTGTTAGTGATTGGTGTATCACAAACTTCGCTCATGGTTGGTGTGTTTCGATCCAAGGCATTGTCAGAGGAAGAAACTGTTCCCTCAGCGGTCTGCTGAGGTTTGTTGATTACAGCAATAACGAAATTTTAATCACCGTCCGCTAGTAACAGATATGATAGGCCATTTCCGAGTTGCTCCAGGACTCTGTTTCAAAGCGAGGCTTGATGTAAAGCCATTACTGAATGTGAAAATGATTTTTTATTCTCATGCAAATAAAAATTTTCTCAAGAAAAGTTTTGTACTTAGCCTCGTTTGAAAGTGGGAGTTTTTGGAACTCGGAAATGGCTCATATGCTTGTTATTGGTTATCTAAAGTACAGTCCAACCTCTAAATATTAAGCGGCCCGCCATTAAACGGTCACCTGCCTAATTCGTGAGGGTGACCAGGTAATAGAGGTTTGACTGTAGTTTGCAAAACACTATGGTTTATTTTGCGTGGAAAGAGATTTAGAGGATGGTCGGACATAAAAATGAAGCAATTAGAATAAATTTCTACTTTTGGGGGGAGGGGCCGGATGGGGTGGATTTTTCACACTGTAATAATTGAATTATCTTTCACTTTTGGGGGGCTGGGGAACGTTAAGAAATTAAAATAATCGAAATACCTACGGTGCAGTAATGCCCAAAACCGGTTTGGCGAGCTATATGATCCAAAAATGGCATGGAAATGAGGCTGGTAACTCTATTGTCCACAGGCCGGGTGTTTTTCTTTTTTTAGTCGGTTGGCGCCCTCTATGTCGCGGAGGTTCAAAATATCATCAGCTCTAAGCTTATCCTTTAACTTCTTTTATTTATATATTTATTATTTTATCTCAAAAAACTTACAAATCCTCTTTGACGCACGCTTTAAAAAAAAGGAATCCAAACCTAATCCTTGAATTATATTTTAAATCAAATCCAAATTTCATTTTTTATAATATATCAATTATTTGAAAATCTATCAGTCAGTAAATTTAAACTATACATGTATAGAAAACGAATTTATCATCGTCAAGAGCGAATCAACTTACTGTTAAGAACGCTTAAAATAATCACTTACACAATGTAAATGGTTGGTCAGAGATCAAATGAATTATAGTTGAACTTGTATCTTGCAAATAAAGTGTTACATGTAAAGTTTAGCTAAATCTTTGTGAAACGTTTTTTGTTCAGGTTTATTTTACGTTTTTCTATACAAAGTTCATGATTTAACGATAAATGTTTTTAAAATTATTCAATTCTGGTGTAAATGGAGACTTACTTCCCACCAAAACGTTATCCTTCACTTTTCGTACTTAATTGTATATAACACGAACTGTTGGCGAAAACTGTAGCCTGGCAGACTCTTCTTTCATTCCGGCAGCTTTCAAGGTCCTTCAGGGGTAGCCTGAGATCATGCCCTCTCCCTATTATCCCTTTATGTCTCTCACGGGAAGAGGGCATGATACATTTGTTTGTCGGATCACATGTAAAAAAGCCAGAATCTGGACTTTTTTCTGATTGGATAGGAAACAATACGAATGATTTGCGCCGTTCCGATTGGCCAAAATGCCGCCATCCGTTAGTTGTTGTTGATTTCAGTCTGCATTTTTGCTTCCGTAATGAGCAGTGAATACACACGCGAGTTCGTTATAAAATTTCTGCCGGCTCGGTTTTCTTGAATTTGAAGAATGCCTAAATAGAAATTTCATCCATCGAAATATTTTCCATCTCATCGTATACTAAAAATTCGCCGATCATTTGAATGCAATTTGATACCGGCTTCAAGTTACAGAAGCGACAAACGGGTTCACTTTTCAAATAATCAATTCATGAATGGAATCTTGACCTGGTTTGACTGTAATTCCTCCTTCAGAAACCTGCGAATTATTTTGAGCGATCTTCGCTTTCTTAACACCTTTCAATTCGTGAAACATTTGTAGCTGTTAAATAAAGGTAGGAAGCTCCAGCTAGCAGTATTTCATCACAAAAACAACACGTTTAAAAGTTTTTTTAGGAAGCGCCATCTGAACATGGACGTACTTTAATAAAAATTTTCTTTTCCCTAAAATTGATTTCAAAAGAGACATTTTCGCGCCAAAACTTGATTCCCTTATAGTAAACGCTTATTGGCTAACAACATGACAGGTCAAGCAGACGTTAGATTATGTAAATTAGGGGGCGGTTGACGGCTTGTTAAATAAATGTATCAGGCGTTATTTTTTTTTCCCTCTCGAGCCAAAGAAGCAAAAAAAAAAAATAAATAAATAAATAAATAAAAAATAACGCCTGATCTCAGGTTACTTCAGGGGTCCCCAAGCTCACAAGCCGCTTATTAAATCAAACCACAAAAAAAAGACCAAAGGTCCGACAACCATGTAATGACCACACACCCTTTTTCTTGCTGCAGCTGAACGGGGGAATGGGCACCTTGTAAACCTGGGCGGACTGTAAGGCCAATTGGGCCCCAATGTACTTCCAGTGGGTCGGAAAACGTTTTTACTGAAGTATCCGACATAATTGCCTCCAGGGTTGTATTTGATAGAGACAACAAGTCTCTTATCTTTACGTATTTTCCAAGCTGCTCCAATTTGTCTTGAGTTTCTCCAGACTACCTAGAGATAACAAATCAAAGACTCTCTGCAGGGGCACATCTTTAAAAGGTTTCAAGGTTGATTTAGATGCCTTAGTTTACAATTCAGCTTCAGTCGTTAAGGTCTTATCAGAATCAGTGAGTAACAGCTTAAGAGGGTCTCAATGGGGTTAAGCGTGTGGCGTGAAACGTCCAAAAAATTAACCGTGTGTCGTGAAAAAGGGAAAAAATTAACCGTGTGTCGTGAATCATTTTTGTCCAGATAACCGTGTTGTTTGTAGCTTTTCCTAGGCTCTGAACAATTATTTAATGTATGTGGTCTATTTGGTATTTTTAGTTTGTTTTTCAGACAAAAAAACATTTATTCAATATATAGACAAAATCACCACAGGTATCCCAAAGAACACGAATTAACAATGCACATTGTGTATGAGATTCTAAAGACGTTTTTGTCCGGAAGCATTTAAGGAAACTATTAACATTAGAAAGCGTTCGTAACAAGGATAGGATGGCAATCGACCCTATCATTGGTTTAACAAGACCTGAGGCAATAGAGGTGTTGCAAAAGGTAGAGCTAGTTGTCCACACCATAGTACCTGAAAAGTACAGATTTTGGGCCTCAAACCAGCAAGGCGTTTGCAAGCATCCTGTCGCTCTGTCTCGAGGTCCTGTCGGTAACATTCTCACCATTGATTACGATTTCTCTTCTTCGTCCTTGCGTTTGTTGAAAACCAGGCTTCACCAGCCTGCTGAAGTATCGGAGTTACAAACTGAGATGCGTGATGCAAGAGACGCATGCTTTCCTAACGGAGTAGCGTATGTAGCAGAGCGTGGAACAGGATATGTAAGATATTGTGACCTCGAGGGGAACGTTAAACTTAAACCTAGCTCATTACGCTCGCGTGCAGACCTGGAGCAAGTACTTTTCAGATACAATTTGTCAACAAATGGAACGTAACTGTTCCGATGTTACGTGAGCGCCTCTCTGTGCATTTGCGAAAGTTAGAATCGAAAGTGAGAAAGAACGTGGTACACATTGTCAACGTGCAACTGTCAAAACCCTCGGCCCTGTGTATGGCTAGCGATGATGTGCTATTGGTAGCCGATGATGGGCTACGAGTCATACATCAAGTTTCGCTCGAAAGAGATATTGTAACAATCAGGGGCAAGTCAATGAGAACACTTTCAAATTACCCTACACATATCGAAAGTGTGGAATCCATGACAATCTTGGAATCAAACGTATACTTTGCAGGATCAAAGAACGACAAATGTCAAGGAGGTCTATATTCTGTTAGCATGGAAACCACCCTGATGGAATGTGCTATCCAGAATGGTGATCAAAGTTGCAAGGAGATCAAGAGGGTATCCAAATTTAATGAGCTGCTAGTCTTCACAGACATCGGGGCTCGTGATGTGAAGTCATTTAACCCGCACACCAACGAAGTTGTACATCTTGCTGGCGACGGATGTGATACACAGAATGATGGCACTGGACGATGCTGTAGTTTTATACAAGCTCATGGTATTTGTTGCATTTCGAACACTATATTTGTCACAGACGCAGCAGCAGGAAAAGTAAAACTAGTAGTTAGCATGAGTGGAACTTTGTCCTTTCTTTATCATTTGGGGCTTATTTATGACAGTTTTGGAATTACGTGTAAAGAAAGCACTCCTGCGCAAATGACTCCAGAATTGGTGGTGTCGAATGTACGCAAAGTACACCAATACGTTCAATCGACTTTGCGCAAAGTCAAGGAAAGTGATCAACTAAAGGAAGATGCGTCGACAAATGGTCCTCAAGGAACTGTTTCCAAAAAAACGCACACCTCAATTGAGCTTTTGTTGAAAGGTATGACCAATCTTATGATAAATCTCGAAAAGTAAATCCAGAATTCAAGTACAACGTTGTTTTCAAAACATTGTTAACAACTGAAGTAGAAAATCTGCATGCAGTGTCACACTTTAAGAATGAGACATTTAGTACTCTTCAGTACGCCATGGACTTTGGCACTATAGCAAAAGAATCTCTTAAACGAGTTTCTGAATGGGCGGCAAAGTACTTCACCCATCCAGCGTCCTATTATCCAGTTCCCCAAACAAGAATGTTGCTCGGTGACATCAAGTTTATTTCGCCACTCCCATCCAAGACGCTCCCCAGTAGAGAGGAAGATGCAATGCGGGGATGGGTTGACAACTTTCGCCCTGTGAGGCAAAGAACTGTCCGATCTGAGACCACAAAGGATAAAGCAGGAGCTTTGCCTCCTGCCGTCTATACAAAGCAAGCCGATTCTATAACAAGAGTATTCTTTAGACGTGATCAAGAAATAAGCGCAGATCTCCCAGATAAGACAGATGCTGAAGGCCCGAATGTACCCGTGCCCAAGGGCGTATCTTTAATCAGCTTTGTTGATGATTGTACCATTGAAGTTGTCCACGCAACTCAGTCAACTCAGGTATCCAACTCAGATTGTGATTTCGGAGAGGAATATGAAACGGACTCAGACGATAGTTTGTTTTCCGATGACGAACCTGACTATGTAACAAACAAGCCAGTAATAACAAGATCGGGAAGACAAGTCAAGGCCGGGGCAAAGTTTGATGTTTAATCACCGTTAGAAATGTAAGCACATATTTCGTTGTGCCCATAGTTAAAACTCATAAGAATGCAAACATAGTTAGTTGAGGGAGACCGCTAAACTATGATGGAAACAATGAAAAAAAGCAAATAGCTCTCAGATGCTCAAAAAATAACATGAACAATAAATAATTCATTGTCTTAATTCTGACATTCGTTTTTACTGTTTAGCACCACTTTGCTAAAATACACTAATGTTTTTGTTGTTTTCCTTGGCTGTTTTTCTCGGGGCCTTCAACATGCATTGCAGGAGACGTTTTTTTTATAAAAATTGCATTTCTACTACTTTTTTGTGCCTGGAACCTGATTAGACTGACTAGATTTGCTTTTTCATTGTTTCAGGGGTCAGTATCGTCAGTGCCCCCGATTATCAATGCCACTCTTTAGAAAGGGGGGACAATATTTGTTGTTGTTGTGAATTTTTGAACAGTAATACGTGTATGCTAATCTTAATTAACCGTGCCGAAGAAAAATTAATCGTGCACCGTGAAATCGCGAAATTTTTAACCGTGTACCGTGTTTGCTACACCCCCATTGAGACCCTCGCTTAAGACTCCTTGAACCGAGGCCCTGACAAGTATAGGTAGAAGCCTTGTTAAAGTATCGGCCTTCTTGGAGTACTGTGTTATAGGAACTATATCTCTGGAAGTGCATTATGTTTATGATTTTTGCTGAATTTTTTTCATTATTTTAAAGCCTAGAAATCCAACAAATATCCCGGTACAAGATTTTCGTAATCTATCAAACCATTCGATAATTTTTATCAGGCTTTAATACAACCTGTGTATAAAATGTCCCTCACAACGATATTCAATATTAGCCCGGGAACGAGATGTTGGACCATGATAACGTCATTAACGTGTTTATATCACCATCCAGTAACATACCTGTGTAAAATGTTCCGCTTTATTGACATAACCGGGTTTGTCGTAATTGTAATACCTCTCCTCCCAATGGAACCATTGTACAGCATCACTGCAATACTCTTTTGGGTAATCGTTAGGGTGGGACAGGTATAAATTCCCAGGATTCTTTTTGCTATGTTCAAACTTGTTCTTTTCCGCTAGATATTTGACCCAGACCTCCGCTTCTTGCTGAAGTCTGTTCGACCACGTGACATTAGGGACCTGAGGAAAAACATTCTTGAATTCTTAAAGATAAAGCCCTTTAGTTTAAGTGGTTTTCTCAATGAAAGTCATGTAATGTTGCACTAGTGGAACTGTTTCCTTCAAAGTTCAGGATTATTTTTGCGATGATGAATTTTGGTGTTTTTGGCTACATATTCGACCCAGACCTCCGCCTGAAGGCTCCTCGACCACCTGACATTGGGAACCTGTGCGAAAAGTTTTCTAGTTCAAACCTTGCTTCCTGTAAGAAATTTTCACGTTTATAAAGAAGAACAATGAAATGTGGGAGAGTACAAAGAACCATCTTCGCCAGGGGAAAACGATCCTCCAAACTTTGGGCGACGGTCATATATACGCTATATACTTTAAGATCAAATTACTTGTCCAATTTCGTTCTATTTGTCAATTCTTCTGCAACTTGAAAGAATTAACTATAAGTATTAAGGTTTTTTTTCCCATCTAATGTCAAGACAGGCAATTTACTCGGTCCAACTTAAAATAATTAAAAACAATTTTCAGCCTCATAACTGATTGCTATTAAAACAAAATCTTTTTGGGTTGTACATAGCAACATTGCCAATCTATAGCTAGGACAGTACACCTCGAAAGGAGAGGTAGAAACAAAGTTTAGTAAAAATTCTTATTTACCTGGTGAAGGGTGCGGAAATAGTTGTGCCAATAAATACACAGATATTTAAATGACAGCTCACCTGCAAATATAATTGTTCGACAAACCTTTGTAAAATATTTATCTATGCATGCATTGGAACTCCCATATACTGTAAAGCATAGCCCTAGCTTATAAACCTGCAAGAGCAATAATTCTGTGTGTTTTCTTAATTCATCCGTTTCGGTGACGTTCGTTGGCAAGATGTACTCCTCTTTCCTTACAGCCGCGCAAAACCCTCGGCCCAAGCCGAAAGCTGCCTTTCTCTCCTTAATTCAAAGTGAATGCATTTTTATTAGCTAATAGAGACCGGAGTAATAAACACAAGCGTACAGCAAGCAAACCCTGGATGACTCCCAACGTAACGCAAAAACCCAGCGCACACTGTTTTCAGTGTGTTTTCACTGATATGCAAATGACACATTTAAAAAAAAAGTTGCCCAATCCCTTTTTTAAATCTTGATTTTCTCTAAACTGTCGAATCAAATGGTGTTTCACTTTACCCTTCACATTTTAAAAGCCGCAGTATTCGAGCTGAACGAAGGTAGGGAACTGCAAAGAGAATATTAAAGTGTGCTGGCTTTGAAATAATATATTCGGAGCCGCTACACAAACACAGTCGCTTTAATAAGTGAGGTGGTCATACCTTTGCAAGTTGTCAGGATGGCAATAAGTACAGTTGTAAGACCTGCTATGTTCATGGCTGTTTTGTTATCTAAATACAGAGCTTAAGAAGTCGAGATGGACCAGAAAGGTCACTATTTATCTCCCCGTGCGCCTGTGCGTAATAATCGAAAACGTTAACTCACCCTCAAAAATATGACAATGTTATAGTAGGTGCATGTTTGTCAAGTTACGGTATAAGCAATAAATGTTTAAAAACTGACGTATTCATCATCCTTTCATCCTTCTATGTCAATATGAAAAAACCTAATAACATGGACTTCCTATTTCGTAAGTTGACAGCAGCCTACTCTGTAAAAAACCGAAATCGGTAATCTTGGAGGAGCGCCTTCCGTAAATTATTATTTAGGATAAATTGCGCACTGGTTTTATTTTTTTAAACAAAGTATGTTGGTGTAAATTGAAAGTGGTTATCAGTTCATTCGATCGATTTCTTTCCTTTTGTTACAAATAGAGAATTCAGTTTTCCCTTTTTGCCATATGCAGCCAGTTTCAATAAATGTGGTCATTTGATATAACCATAGTATTTTCCCATTTAACGCCAAATTGATTTTTTTTTTTTAAAACCAAGTTTAATATTTGGCAAGTAAAATGGTTATTTGATACAATAGTTTACCGTAGAAAGGGCAAGGTAGTTATAGAGGAAGACTGATTTTATAGCTAGGAGGGAAAGTTTGCTCGCACGCTAGCAGAGCAAACATTTTTCTAACATCTTTTCAGGTAGGTGCTCAAATGCGCCCTCAGGTCGATGTTACGAAAGTTATTCATCATCCCCGCTTTAAAGGTCAGCCTTTGCTCACTTTTGACTTATTATTATTATTATTATTATTAATATCATCGTCATCATCATCATTATTACTATCATTATAGTTAATTTTGTCGCAAGGTTTTTGCGCCTGCCTGACTTTGGTTATTCTGAACTCCCCAAAACCACGTAGAGTTGCCAATGAAGGCTAATTACAAAGTGGCTTCTTGGATGAAGTGGGCTCCATCAATGAGGTGGTAACAATATCCATAATTTGAAAGGATGAACAAGAAGCCGACATGTGGCATATTATAAGCGATCTGTCAAATTGGTGGGAAACTGAAAATAGCGTTAGAAATTTAAACGCTAAGAAAATGATTTGTCCCATTTTCTTTAATAAAAAATTTAAAACAAAGAGAGGCCCCAGTCATTTTCAAACGAGTTGTTTGTGTCTATTACTTAATATTATTATGAAAAATGGACAACCAACTAAGTTTTTATTATCCTTTATTTTTTTCATGTTGCCATGTGTTTAAGATATTAGGTAAACAAAAAGCACCCACTGGACAACAAACGTGGCCAATCTCTGTGATTCTAGTACAGCAGAAACACCTGCCCTAACAACGTTTGGTTTGGTGACAACTTGGTTACAATCTGTTGTGACAGTGCTGACGTTAGAAGCAGAGGTGGTTACAGAAGGGAGTGGGCGACCCTCCTGGGTGGTTGCCGTTATGCAATGTATAACGGAGGTTGTCAAGATGGGCTCTTTCGGAGGAAACACATTTCTGGAAAAATAACCTCCAACGTTTCCGGGCGGGAAATATTTTACTACCACCACAGTTTTGCCGTCTTTTCTACGTTTGCTGGCTGCGCCGATTTGCTTTGTGTTTTTCCAGACGAGCTAAAAAAGGCAAGGAAAGAGTTATAAAATTGGGCTAAACATTCATTAATTTGTCTCCAAGCACTGATCAAGTTCCATGGAGATAAGACGGCTGAGGTGGTGAAAGTCGCCAAAATGGCCCATCCCTGCTAAAGCCATAAAGTTACGAGCTTGTTGACAACAATATTAAACCTCGATATAAAAATTTGAATGCAGGACACGTCACAAAACACGTTTCATGCGAGATGAAAGTGACAGGCGTAACGTAAGGAGGAAAATAATGGAGAGTTTAAGAATCACGTTTGTAACTGCAAGTGCGAGATGACCGCGTCACCTCTTTTCCCGCAACCCTAGCTTACCGTTTGTCGTTAGTCGTTAAACATCAAGAAGAGATCCAGGAACTTAACAATATCATCGTTCTCACATGAATCGACAATTGCATGGCTATCTCTACCATTTGCTGCTGCCATTTTTCATAACTGACCTGATTTTTAATCTCAAATCAGGGTAGTCTTAACCATATTTGCTGTGGATCAATTTAGGTTTCTGAGAAACTGCCCACCTACCCCTCCCCTGAGTCAACATTAACACTTACTTCTGACTTTGGCCAAAATGATGGCTTAGGGGAGGGGTAGGTGGGCAGTTTCCTAGAAACCTAAATTAATCCGAAGTTTTTACCTGGGTGAAATGTGCAGCTTTTGGGTAATACCGTGGCTTACTATAATCATAATTTTTCTCCTCTTGGTAGAACAATTTTACTGCTTGTTCACAAGGTTTGGCAGGCCTTCCAGGACTTAAGAACAAATTTCCAGGATCTTTCCCATCGTGTTCGAATTTGTTGTGTCTGGCCAAGTAATCTGCCCACGCGTTGGCTTTCTTCCAGAGATCATGTGACCAAGTTACGTTAGCAACCTATGAAGGAAAACTCAGTATCTGCATTTCAGGAGATAAGGTATAAAAGTTCTGTCGCTTTTACTTCATTCTTTGCTGTAAGTTTTGTCGGTATGGCTGCCTTAGATTATTAGTGGACCACTGCTTGGTCTAAAGAAACCGTCTACCATTAGGTTGATCGATCTGCATCCTACACTGGTTACTGCTTTGAAGCAACTCGTTTGGCAGGTACGAGAGGGACTGGGACACACTCTCTCTCTTTCTCTCAAGTCAAAGCTTTTTTCTGTTTGTTTCTTTTTTCAAGCTTCTTTAACTATTTGCTATTAGTGATCTTCTTGTTCTTACTCCAAACAAAATGTCACTAAATTCAATGTACAAGGTAGTGAGGATGTTTTTTGGCATTAAAAGAAATAATTATCCTACGAAGACAAGAAACGGTGTTATTTCCATAAGTTCAATTTTTTCCCTATTATCATTATTCTATTCAAATTTATCTGCTGAATTATTCAATATTGAACTAGTCTATTAAAACAAGCAAGATTCATCAATAGTAATATCTCTGGTGTGTTTCGAATACGGAAAAAGAGTTCGGGCATATATTCGGTCGTGCAATCCCTTAAACCTTTGAGCCGTAAGAGTGACCAAAGCCAATTTTCTTCTAACAATATCACTATATAATCTAGAGAAAATGTTGTGAGAATTAATGAAATGATCATCTGATGGGAAAAGCTTTGATCTTAAACCAAATTCTCTCAACGTATTCTTTAAGGAAATGTATAGACATCAGTCTGGAGAATTTGTATTTGGATATTAGGGCTTCAGAGGTTAATCCTTTGATAACCATACAAAACCCAAACCATGTGATGCACATCGATGGGAAGGAGATCGGCACAAATTTCCAGTTCCTGGGTCATTTCATCCTTTTTAATTCTTTCTCTTCTTTTACCGCTCCTCACAAGCAGGCACATCGACGATACTTGAGAATAAATAATGTTTGTGCTACTGCATCAAAGTACAAACAACCAAAATAGAATCTAGCTACGTGAAAAACTTCGACACGAAGCTCAAAATTTTGTGACCGACTGAACCATTATTGTTATTGTTATTCATTGTAAATATTTGATTGGCATCTTGAATAGTTTTGATATCTTTGCATTTTATTCTATTTTGCTTTTTCCTAAGTTTGCGACCGGGCGGGATTCTCCAAATCATGCGAACTGATTGGTTACGGGAGCGGGCGGTTTTATAACATCTTGCCCACTAACCCGGCCGGGAGGCCTCGGGCAGTTTTTCGTACGTGAAGGAAAGGGAGTTGAAAGTTAGAAGTAAATTACCTGATGGATTCTCCTGAAGTGGTTATGCCAGATAAGCGAAGGCTGTTTACATGGCAAAGAACAACCTGCCAATAAAATCAGCAGAGTCGTTCAACATTAAAGTGCATTGTAAACGCATTGACATTTGCCGACGAAATTGACTTAATTTCTGTTTTTCACAAGGGGAATTAGTTTTTTTACATTCTCAAATGATATTTAGAACGTAGAACAATCAGTCAGTGAGTTGGTAAGTAGCAGTATATCGTTTGACAAAACCTTTTCAGAGAGCCTAAATTTAATAATTTGGTCAGCTATGATATTTGGATTGCTGCTATTAGATTGACAGAACACTTAATCGAAAATTCCACCAATTTGTTTGTTTGAATTGGACTGACAGACCATGAGGAGTGCTTCAGGTTATTCTGGCAACAGAGGAATCTAGTATTGTTATTTTAAAATAAAGAATCACTAAGCGTCTTTTTCGTAGACAATATGTAATTTAAAAATATGTTGTAACTTTCTTATGTATGGAAATTTCGTTCAGCTCACAATTTTTGTTTTACTACCTGAACTTTGTGCATTCATAGACAAACGAACTCAGGGACTATTAAAAACGTCGAGCAAAAAAGATATATGAATGTCAATTAATCGCAGATATGATGAGCTTGTTTACTCTTCTTGGGACATTTATCTCCTTCTTCTATTGCCTTTAAATCCCTTTCTGTAATTAATTTAACCGCTGAAACATTAGAATCGATCTTCATGATCAGTTCAACAATTGATTTTAATTACCAGTTTTCATTAGCTGTCCCAAATCGTACTTGCATCTCAAATGGACAGTTATGTAATCTGTGTCAGCTAACCAGTCAGCAAAACCCTCCTGTATTTTAGGTTTCCATACA